ATTTCTGGCAGATATAAAACCGTTTGTCTCTTATTCTAGAGGGTTCAAAGGATTTTTTAAGCCAATAAAAAAAAAATCGATTTTTTGAAATTTCTACTGTGGTGTAACCCCTTAAGAAATTCAGACACCGACGATACGCCATTCGAATCGAAAGTTACCCTTGCGGTATGTTTTCGCTGTTGCGCCTGCTGTCGGCGAAACCGTCGGGCGCGGGTAGAGTCAGTAATTCCTCGGGCTGCGAGTCTCTCCTCAAATCCGGCATTGGGCTCAACGATGCCACGTTAGGCGTAGGACTTGGGCAGGGTGAAATCTCTATGCTGCTGACGGATTCTACAGTCGGTATTAAACTTATGCTGTCGGCCCGATCTGTTGGCGAGAAACCGGGGATATCCAATTGATGCTTTTTGCCTAAATTATGCATAATATTTGAAGAAAAAAAAATGAACAAAAATCACTGTTTTACGTAGATACAAAGTACTTACTCGTCATAATATTTATCGGAGAACTGTCGGGTATTATGGTGATATTCGGCATCTTGCCGCCTTGCTTCTCGTTCGGATCGTTCTGCTCGTCGACAGCCGTTTCCGTGTGTTCCACTAATCTTCTGATAGCTCTTTTCAAGCTATTCGCTCTGTAAATATCATTAAAACATTACATCTTGCCTTTCTACATTTCGTGTACAAGATATATGAATATATACTGTACCGAGACATCACAACATCTCTTTCCATGTAACATCTTCTTCTTTTGACTTTTTTTAAATTCGTCATTTCTTTCTCCGGCTTTTCTAAAGCACCTTTCTCCTGGACGCTGCTGAAAGTTTCGGTTTTTAGAGTGCCAATGTCAATGTCTTCTGTGCTATCGGATAAATAGCTTTCCTCTTTCGATAATGTTTGCAACAACAGGTCGAGTTTTTGTTGAAGTATTGTGCATTTTTCTCCCAATTGTTGGTCCCCTGTGTTTAGACTGGCTTCCAGTATGTGTGTTGCAAAATCTTTTACTGTTTCACATAAAACTCTGTCGGGGAAAATCTCGGTTTATTATGCCAAAACTCAAAAGCTTGTGCAATTTCATATATATATGTACCCACACACATGTGATCGCAATTACTCACTTGGCACTAGATATAACTACGCTCTCCTGATCAGATTGCAAAATGTTTGTTATGTGAGCTAGAACGCTGTCTTCGTACTGATGAGCTATGCTCGATCTTATAGCCGGGTCGGGCTGAGTCACTTTGTGACATGGCAGAGATATGCTGCGTTCAAATGTCATAATACTCCATCGATCCAGCATCTTCGTGCCCGCTTTCTCGTACTTCTCCAGTAGCTGAGGTAAATGCGTGTCATCGTCGCACGACGATCCCCATCCCAACACGCGCGCCAAGTCATTTCCTGTTCCCAAAGGTAGTACCCCGATCTGGCATTGCTTCTGCAGATTTATATGAAAAAATGTAACTCTCTCACCATTCTCTGTGCAATGCATTCAGTAATATATGTTAATAATTCCTAATGAGAGCTGTAGATTAGATATATAGATACATTAGTCATGCACACTTACCGCCTGCAAAAAAAGTTAACGAAGCTTCGCGTACATAAAGAAGCCTAAAGCACACACACCGGTTTCATCTGGAATAAAATCATAAAAGAGACACGCCATGCAGTTTATAATCGGAAACTTGAAAAAATTAATACCACTGACTGCAACATCGTCAGATCTGAGTAAATATTAGTACGACTCAAAGTATAACAGTATAAGTATAGAATGTATAAGTATAGATTCCAAAAAAAAATATATATATACCTATATATATCAATACTTCAAAAGAATGAGAACAGGGGACCGGAGGAGAAAGTTTTATTTTTCGAGTTATAATAAATTGAAGAAAATATTTGAAATGTTCGTTCTGTGTGATCAATCTCCCTTTGCAAGATTAAGTAAGATAAATAAAAGTTTGAATATACATCTTCCAATATAACTTCCATACCTTTTCAAAAAATTATCAGAGTTGTTAGGTGAATAACTTATTTGAACAAGAAGTGAGCTAAATCCAATCCAAGTTTTGCACCCTCCTCAAAAGATTATAATTCAGAGGAGTTAATCAAACCATAGTAAATTACGAATCTCACAATTTCAAGAATTTCGATATTGGAGAGGGTGAAAATTTAAATCTGATTTAATCGTGTTATCTCTTGTCTAAATATACTCTCTTATTAATTCTGACGCTGATGCTTCGAGAACATCAAAAGACACGTGTCCTAATTTTCGTTTAATCCAAATGTTCGGTAAGAAAGATTCGTATATATTTTTTATTCGTATATATTTTATTTCAACTGATACTTCAAAATATTTAATAATAATTATGTATATATATATAAATCCTCGCCTCTACTTTCATTCTCCGAAATATTGATATATAATTAAGAATTCTACTGCATGTTAAAAAATACATATTGAAACAGTACACGATAATGTATTCTCATGTATATCGTAAATAGGCCGTAAAATATATTCATGCATTGTATAACGCAGAAAAGTATCGTTAAGAGCTAAGTTACTAGGCGCAGAAGTAAATACGCTTAAACAATGCAGCCCTAGGTAGAGCGGTAATTAAATTTTAAACGAGTCGCTAAGAAATCATGCTGAAAGAGATAGAGAAGTTTCCTTCGCGTAAAGTCGACCGATTTTAAAATACACGTTTACTCACGTGCATTCCAAGCCGATCGATTTCTGAAAGCACCCATCCTACGGATCCATCGCCACTACAGACTAAGATCCGGAATGGATCAAAGTGTCGGAACAGTCTTAATCTGAGCAAAAAATACGATTCAACATGTTTATTATATATATATAATTTACGAATTAATAGATTGATTGCAATTAGTATATGTATAAAGATTTATTCACCCTGGACCTGGTCCTCCGTTTATAAGGTCGAACACTTGTGCGGGATTCAATAATTGTTTAAATCTCCTAAGAAACTTAATACCTTGATTGTCACCAGATTTACTGTTTACAAATACTAAAAGTGGACTGCATCCCGTAGGTCTAACTGCTTCCCAAGCTTCGTCGTTACCTGCACGATAATAATCGAACCGTATATAACATATATTATATTATTGCTATTAGAAAAGTTTCATGTTTCCAATATACAAGTATCAAACTGTCTCCGCCCACGCGAATCATGATATAATTTGTAATACGAACTGTAATAGCACGAAAATTACCTATACTATGCAAAGCCGTAGGAGGCACTACACTGAGTTTAGATGGTCCTAGTGGACACTTGATACTTATGGCAGGTCTGCATGCTGTATGCACAGTTGTTTTGCACCATAAACACCGCCAATCTTGCAGCCTATGAATAACATGTTGATTTACTCAATTGTATCAATTACGCTTAAACGTAAAAATGCACTGGAAAATGTAAATACCTAAGTACAGAGCCACATGTCTTTTCACAGATAGAGCATTTTGAGGACACCGGCAAATTTCCCTCCATCCACTGATGTGGCATTGTGATGTTCTACAATGTACAGATTAAATGATACGTGAATTATATGAATTCTTGATTTATTAGATGAGCAATTGCCAGGTGTTATTAAAAGATATAGGTTCGATAAAAATTATACTTTTATTGATTATTAATTCCCAAAGATATATATTTTAATAAGATAACATGTATGCACACCCCATCTTGGTCCTCAATGATGTCCTTTCCAATGGATGCTAAAGTGGTCCACTTGCAATTGTTTATTGCTTTTGCGCTACATCTCTTGTGCACCTTGTATTTACAAGCCTCACAACTTAAACCGTGGGAAGTAACACCTGCAACAATACAGCGTTGCATAAATTCAATTGTCATCTTTACGATAAGTTCAAGTAATTAAGAAAAGATGCTTACCGTGCAGGGCATCTCTGCAGACATTGCAATACGTAGGTCTAGCGTGACTAGTTGCATACCACTGATGATTACCCCCTAGCAACTCGGCAGTTCCAGGATCACCCTGAGGACGACTGTCCGTCGCTGTTCTTAGTGTGTTCAACCACTCCTCCATGTCTTGCCTGTTTTCACCACAGAGAACCAAAGACCGAAGCGGAGTTATCACCTGATACATAAGAAATAATCACATTTGTGTTATTATAATTATATGCTGCATTAAGAAGGAATGTAATAATGATGTTTTCTTCCTATTGTGTGTACCGTTCTAATTCATAATTTTGAAAATACCGAATGAGAAACATAAATCTGCCAATTCTCTGAAAAGCAGATGCATTAAAATAAATTTAAAGAGATTCATTTTTGTAAATATGAAAGAAAAAAAATTTAAAGAGAGAAAATTCGTAAGAGTTGACAAATTCGAGTCTCGTGTATCTTTTCAATTCACCGGCAGATTATTTTCATCGCAAGGTTATGACTTAAACGGCGCTCCAAAAATGCGGATAAGCATCGCGGAGCATTGTTTCCGATCGAGCGACGGTCCCGCGTCCCAGCTGCTCCGTTTTCCATCCCGCAAACGAGGATTAAAGCTGCTGGCACGGACCCGACCTAGCGGAACGAGCTATAGAATTTCGACGTTGCGAAACGACGTCGCCTCGCGATGCTCGTTGCTCTCCGGCCAACCGGTCCATTGTCTACATAAACAATCGATAACGGCATTGTCACGGGGGCCGCGGCAGGAAGCGATTATTAAGCCGGCGGGACATTCGGGCGGGCAGGCGGGCGACCTAATTAGAGAGAGCTGGAGATTCCCGTCGCCTACTACCACCACCGCGCGTGGACTGCCGTACGTATCGCCACCCTTGCTTTCTCTCTCGCACGCGTCCCTTCGCCGCGTGTGCCTATAACCTTCGCGGTGTACCTTGAAACGGGAGCGGGCCCTCCGTTGCTTCGACATTTGACCTGCGACCCGCGGCTCGCGGACGACGGCATCCGCGTGGCACGTGCGTGACTCCGCGCGCGCGGGCTCCGCTTTACCGCTCCGGCGAGCGCTGCCTCGCGAACCGGCGACGGCGTGCCACCCGCGGCGACATGTCACGCGCCACGACGACGACGACGACGACGACGACGACGACGGCGGCGGCGATGATGCGACGGAGGACGCGGCTCCGGCTCGCGGGCTCGCCGCAACGGTAATCGCGACGGCCGGCGGCGACGCATCGGCCCGTGAAGACTTCCGCGAGACGCGCTTCGCGCCGCTCCTCTTCTGGCTTGGCTCTGGCTCCTCTCTCTGGCACGGGGGTTTAGCGCGCTGCCCTATTTCCCATGGCGCATGTCATGCCACCGCCGCCGCTTCGTCGTGTCGTTTATAAATAAGTATATCCCGCGCGCCCCTGCATTGTTCGCAGCTCGCAACGCTAGCTCGTTCCGTTTCGTCCGCTCGTCCCCTTCCTCTCCGCGCGCCCCGGCGCGGCAGCTGCAGTTGGGCCGCCGCCGCCGCCGCCGTCACCGCCGCCGCCGCGTCAGCCGCGTGTCACACGCGCGGATACCACGTGCGCCATTGTACTCGACGCCGACGCCGACGCCGACGCCGCGCCGCGCCGCGGGAGTCACGAGGCGAAAAAGCGCGCGCGGCACGAGATGCGGCGCGCGGCTGTCAATAAACCTCGGCTCGGTCGCCGCGCGCCGCGAGGCGTTATCACCGCGCTTATCCGCCGCGAATAATGCCTCGCGCCCTCCTTCCTCCACCGGCCTCCCTCGCGGCGCCGGCAGCCGTACGTGTCGTCGTTATTGACAGGTAGACAGGGTGTATCGGAGCTTCGCGCGCGCTATCTCCCTCCCCCTTCCCGACGAGGGTCGCCCACACGGCGGTGGACTTGAAAATCCCGTGATATTCCGAGAGAGAGAGAGAGAGAGAGAGAGAAAGAGAGAAATCGGGCTCCGCCCTCTATTCCTGAATTAAAAAAAAAAATAAATCACCCGAGGTACCCTCCTCGTTATTTTCTCTCCCGGGACATACGCGAGAGCACATCCTATACATACACGATGCGTTATTCGTTTCTCTAAAAACGTTTCCGCTTTTCACGTCGATCCCGTGAAAGCCTCTATATATTTTTTCATACTTTAATCTTTAAGATTATCAGCTCTCTTTCTTTCGGTCGCTCGACCGACGAAGGGAAACGAGAGAGTTTTCCTCCGCCGGTCGAGTACTCGGTGTGTACTCGACTTTTTCATTTCAATCTCGAGTGCGCAGCCATATTTATATTGCGCCGGTATTTCATTTCTCATGCAATTTATACAGGGGGATGTTTTTCCACGTGGGGTACCTGTAAGACGAGAAATGGAGGAGATACCTGCGACGGACGCAGGACGTATCTTTAGCTCGGAAGTGGAGCATTGGGTCTCGTAAGTCAGGCAGTTTTGAAAGGAACTGAACTCGCGGGTCCAATTCTAAATTCGCTATTTCTTTTCGTTTCGCCGAAAGTAACGATCGAGCGCGTTAATCCTATTTGTCGTTTGTTTGCACAGCATGCCCGAATGTACCGGATCAGCTATGTTTTATCGGGCGCATCTATTATTTTGTCAATAATCGTCCGGTAAAACCTCACGTTCGACGCCTCATGAAGAATTCCTCGAAGTCACTCAGAGTGACGTAAAGGTTACGAAAAAAAAAGATAGGTTTTGGCGTATCCTCTCAATAATAAAATAAGACAAACGCCTACGATGTACGACGACGTCAATGACGTAACACGCCGGTGCCGAGCTACCACGTGTATCCCGAGCGACTGACGAATGCGTGTGCTTCACCGGTCAAACGTCGGTCGCGAAGAAATTCGGTGACGTTAAATCAAACTCGTTCCCTCGAGTCCTGAATCTATATTACGGACGCCGATTATTGGACATCGGGGGGCAAATCGGCGGGAATTATTGACGACACGTGGGCGGACACTCGTCTTCCCGACACGCCAGCCGGTATTTGCTTTATTGTCGGGGCCACTTTTCCAGCCCCGTGAGTGGCGGCGTAGGTGTTGGGCACATCATCCGGAGCGGAACGGGGAGGGGGGGGGGTGTATGTACGTGCACGCGCGGCGTTGAATGCCAGGTGAGATCGGGAGGCGCCCCGTGTCGATCGGTCAGGTGTTCTCTGTCTTTTTTTCTCTCTCTCTCTCTCCCTTTTGTGCCACACGTCCATTCTCATCCCTCGCGCGCTTTCATGCCCGCGAGTCGCGATATCGAAATTCGAACGCGGCCTTTGTGCGGCGCGACGTCGCGCGACCACCACCCCCGCCGCGAGGCCGATCTATTCATCGCGCGTTGAAAAAGACTCGCGTTTCTTCGTCCCGCACGCGGTGTCCGCGGTGCCTCTGTCTTTCTCACTCTTTCTCTATCGTTTCACTCCACGAGTGACGAATACAATCGCGCGGCATTTATTCATCGCGATTATACGTCGCGCCGGATAAAACACCGTATGTTTTCGTCGCATTTTCGCGCTTCGTGAAATTCAATTGCGATCGAAGTAACGCCCGATGAATCCTCCTCGTAACCGAGTTTAATTGGCTTCAACCCTGAATGCAATTGTTGTGTAGATTCCGAACCGCTTGGTTGCCCGGCATTGTTCGAAATAACTCAGCGGAGCACGGAGACTCCGGCGGATACAGTATATAGAGTTCCCGGGGGCGGGAAATTATTTTCCTGTCGCGCGCTCGTAAAACACGCGTGACTCGCATGCCGGCGAACACTTCGAGCGAGAGGACACGCGAAGCAATTAATGTTCCGCAACGTAATCGGGCGAATCATCTTGTATCCCGAGAGATTGGCCGCCCGAGGGCGGATTGGGTAAGAGGGACGAAAAGGGGGAGGTGTAACGATCGCATAGGTATATAATGGACTTCCCGTGTTGGCGCGAATATTCATCCCTCGAGAAGGGATGAATATTCGCGCGAGTGTCGAGCCGGTCGAATATTCGCGGGAAAAAGGCATTTCTTCTCGTCCTTCGCGCCTCCTGCACCCTCCCCCGCGCGTCTCCCTCGTCACGTAACGTTCAATTAATCATCGACGCTGGGGCTAACTCGGCCGATTAATCATCGCGCGACTGCCGCGTGACTGATTATCCCCGTGTCCGTCGGAGTCTCCTCTGCATCCCTTGACCGGAGAAAACGGGACCCGCCGGGATGCGGCTATTACGAGAGCTCGCGGATCGGCTGGATCATTACGGCGGCTGAGGCGGGCGGGAGCGCTCACGTTTCTGCGAGGAACTCGAGGAGAAAATTACTCCGGATTAGACCGAATCGAGTTTTCTCTCGACTTTGAGAAAATTAATTTCCTCTTCCGAGCGCTTGAAAAGCGTGTCGGACCCGCCCCGCCTCCTCCGTCGACTCGTACTTCGCGATCTCGCGTCTCGGCTTCAAACGTGTATTATATGCTCCACGCTCGAACCGGGACGAGATCTCAATCGATCAGCCGTTTCATTGTCATCATTCGTATCGCTCGCGCGGCCTTGGACGCGTCTGAGGATGCCGGTGAGATATTTAGGCACGCACTTTCAACTGGGTCAGACACGACGCGGATACGCTCTACTTAATTCATTTGGGACGCGCCGCGACAGCTCGCGGTTAACAGCTGCGATGCATATACACCCCGCCCGAGAAATCCGATACTATCGCTCGACGTGCATCCCCGTGTTAGTAAAAAAAAAAAAATACGAGATCCACGGAAACCGGCGAAAACGTAAGCCGCGTAAGAATGAATTCGCCGGCGATTAATCCAGCTCCCGTTATCAGATAACAATACTGGCAATTACTGTCATCCCTAACTTGTGCAAAGGTTTTCTATTGCCGAAAGCCTTTGGGCGGTGCGATTTTTATACCGTGTTAAATCGAGTCCGGGCGAATAGAACGTGGAATAAAACGGAACGTTTCGAACAAATCGATGGTACCAATAAAAAGTGTCGCTAAACTATGACTTTTCACAAGAACTATATTTGTACGCCGGTTCCGTTCTCCTAAAAGCTTTTCCGTTTCAGCAAACAAAACGGAGATGTAATATTAAACAAATACAATATACTATGCGGATATCATGGCACCTTCACGAAAGCGCGTATATATACTGTCGATAAAATTGGAAAATGATTGCAGATGAAATATGCTCATAAATGTCACGATATATTTT